CGCCGCCAGGGCTCCGGGCGCACTTCGATGGAAATGCTGGGTCTGTCCAGCCGGGCCTTTACCCAGAGGCCCCATAGTAGTTCCTTTCTGGGGTTCATATGGGTAGGTTGCATAAAGAAAAAAACGGTTGCACTGAGGGTTCCTTTAAAAGTTATTTCCGCATTCCCATAAGGGGACGTTCTCAGGGTTCCTAAACGGGTTCCTTTCACGATTGAGGTTTAAGGGGTTTGGGTTTGCTGGGGCTTAGGATCGAAGGTTCAGGTGCAGTTGGTGTTTTTTGCTCGAGAAAAAAAATTGGCCTCTTCCTCTGGTTCACACGTACAGGTTCAAGATAATCACCTCTACTATTTTGGCAGGCGCCTTAGTATAATTAAAGTAGAATGGCAGTAACTATGGCCCCCGAAAACCCGTTCTAACTATTGCTGCAATCTGGTTCCGTGGTATGGTTGAGGGCTGAGGCCTCAAGCTTTCGGGTTTATGTGGACTGCTGCGGTACTGTAACCAGGAGCTGCATTGAAGCAACCCTCCAAAGTTGCAATATCTTAGCAGTCTTAGCACCCCAAACACTAGACGGTTTGCAGAAACATTCTAGAGCCCGTGCGAAGCCTCAGTTACACTGCCTCAACAGCGCTTCGGGGGGGGAAGCCCCCTACACGCTGTAGTGTCAAATAAGGACTCTAGACTCTAAATTGGGGCGATGTGGTGGAACATGCTTCGACAAGCCTGCCCAAAGACACCAATTAACTCCGCGGATATGGAAACAGAAACTCTCCTGGCAACCATTTAGATGCGGATAACACAGGAGTACCTACCACACACCGAGAGGCTCGTACCCCACTCCTTTTTTGGGTATCTACTTGTCTATATAACAAATCCTAGCCATACATAAAGCTAGGTACCCTAACCATGGGGTGGGATAGGGTATGAGCCTCTAGACACACCATAACCCTAAATCCCTGCAGACTTGGCTCGATCTTGCAGCCCCGCAAGGCTAGACCTCTACCTAGAGTAGCCAAGGTCATTAACACATCAGCATCTCTATGTCTACATTTACACTTAGATTTATGTCTGTATCTGTATCATGCATGTGTCTGCATGCGAACTTTTTCTGCATACATTTGTTTGTTTAATGTTCTTGTAGTATTTGCTCAAGCCGGGCTTTTAAATTTTAAGTGACCAGTGAGAAAATATATACCGTTGTTTCATGATAATTTTGACAACCATATGCTTAGGTATGAGAACGTCATTCTGGTAGCGCAACATCGGTTCTATTGATCACTCTAAGTCTAGGTAGGCCATGAACCGCTTCTCCGGTACTATAGAGGCCTAAATGATTATCCATGATAGTAACCCTTATAGACCCCTTTAAAAGGAACACTTCAAAGGACCCCTATTCTAATTATTAAGGCCCCTATATTACATCCCCCGAGCTGGCCTGAAGAACGATGGATGGGTGCGGGCCCTCTCTGCAGAAGAGTGGCCTTGGGTTTAGGGGTGTAGGGATCAGGGGTTTAGGGTTTAGGTTTAGGGTCTTTTTAGGGTTTAGGAGTTTAGGGTTTAGGGGTTTAGAGGGGTTTGTTAGTGTTTTTTCAGCACCAAAAACCCTGAAAGTACCCGAAACATCAGAACCAAAACCACAGAACCGCCAGAGCACCTAACCTAAACGCAGCCTGAGCCCCTATAGAACCCTCATAGCCCTTAAGCCTTTATGCTCTCTTCTTCAACAACCAGGCCCCAAAAAGCTCAAACTTTCTAAGATAGAGCTAATATACAAGGCCAAAAAGTTTAAAGTTCACCCGTTCACTCTCTAAGCATGATTCTCACCACCCTCGTGCCTTCTGGGTTCGGGCCCTGGAAGCCAGCTAATACTCCCCATACCAAAATCCGCCTTTCCCCCCCCCCCCCCCCGCACCCCGGTCCCCAAAAAGCCTCATCGCCTAAACGGGAGTTTCCGATAGTAGGGGACCCTAATATAATACCCCAAACAGTAGGATCCTTATTATAAGGACCCCCCAAATAAGGCTTCCCCAATTTTCGGCAACTCCCAAATCTAGATTGAGTATGAGATCTTCAGGCCCGCGCGCCGCGGAGCGTAGCCGTGCCGGGTGTCGGTACAAAGGCTGACCTCGGAGTCGACGGCCGAGGGCTTGGCGGCTTTCGCCTTTTTTGTGTGGGGCTTAGGGCTCGGGCGCGTTTGGGGTTGGGCGTTGTGTGGCCTTGGGGACTTTTGGTAGGGTATATGCATCATGCCCTAAACAAGGCATTGGGCTTCGGGTGTCGAAAAAAAGCTGAAGAGGTGCAGTTCTTATTCTGGCTATCTTGTCCTAGCAGGTCCTAGCACGCCGGTACCTACGGCGTAGACGGTCTAGAGCCAATCGTCCCGCACTGTTGTGACAGCAGGAACTTGAAGCTCTGATTCGGAGTGGGGTTCGGGCGCTGGTTCTGTTTATCGCTGTGGCCTTTGGAGACATATGGGGGTTTCCGAGCATTAGGGGTACCTTATTTTGGGGGCCTTATAACAAGGATCCTACCATTTAGGTACTATATTAGGGTCCCCTATTTTCGGAAACTCCCATATGGCGCTGGGTCAGTCCGCAGGGGGTATCCTAGCAGCGCGGCTCTAGATCCTCAATCACCAGACACCGAAAGCCCGAAACCCTGGGGTGGATGGGTTTAGGGGTTTGGGGTTTCAGGGTTCAGGGCTTTCGGGTTTTAGGGTTCAGGGCTTTAGGGTTGCGGGTTTGGGGTTTTAGAGTTGAGGGTTTAGGGGTTTAGGGGGTAGGGGTTTAGGGTGTAGGGGCTTCAGACCACCCACAGATCCGAAACCGACCGTCAACAAGGGATCATCCGACACACAGCTGTGATGGGCATTGATGGGGGGACCCTGCAACGCCATCTGAAACGAATCATGTCGGTAAGAACCTAGGACCGTTTGTTGCCTCAAAAACCAAACAACCCACACTCTCAGTCCGTAGCTCGCAAGCCGAACACAGAGAGCTGCAAGGCGCAAAAACAAGCCACAACAAGAAAGAAAGTAGCTAAAACTTTAGGTACTGCCCCCCCCATACAGTAAGAGTCCATAATAGGGCTACTACTAAGGTCCTAATATATCTATGTTATTATGAATATTATTCAACTATTACTGAGTGGGGGCCGTACCCAACTAAAACCATCGAGGCAAACACCACCAACCTCAAACCCCCAGTTTGTAGATTGTACCCTAAGCCACAAAGAAACCTTAAACCACAAAGCCAAGAGTAAAATCTTGGCAAGAAGAGACTGTCCGGGGTCATGGCATGCTGCAGGCACCTCTACGAAGGCTTCGCGGGGGGGGCTGGGGTCTAGGGTGTAGGATGCGGTTTGGACTTCGCTTGTAACAGGGTCGCCTACACCCCAAACTGTGCACCCCAAACGGTGTATGGGAGTTTCCGAAAATAGGGGACCATAATATAGTACCCTAAATGGTAGGATCCTTATTATAAGGACCCCAAAATACGGCACCCCTTACTTCTCGGAAACTTGCATATAAGTTGAGGGATCAGTTCTGTTGTGTCTCAGGTGGATGTCAGGTTCCGAGGTCCAACAATGATGAGTCAGTCACACCCTAACGGGTTTCAAAATAGCATTTAAAAGAATGTAAGAAGGGGTCCTTATATTCTGATATCATTGTAGCTATGGTGCCATAAGGAGGGATGTTGGCAACTATTCCGGCCTCTGTGTTTTTAGAAGTTAGTCTGTGGATTTGGAACTCAAGCATAGAGGTCGAGGAAGGCTGGCAGTGCTAAGGCCGGCCCTGTCATGGGGGGTTTCATGCCTTTTAGCGTATGTTACTGCGCCGCACTTTTCTGAAGCCCTGCCTGCACTTCCGAAACTCAGAGCAACCGTATGTTTCTGGTCAAGGTCTGGCGTTGTGAGCTCTACTTCGAAGATCAGGGGACGAAATGAGGGCTTCATAATTGCGGTTATTGTAATTGCACCCTTCAGGGCCCCCTTCAATATGCATCAGCTTAATCTACTCATGAAGTCCCCGGATCCTCCGTTATCTCCTGAGACGAAACCCAAACACCCCGGGCTAGATGATGGAGAGCTGAGTGAGGAGAAGTTCCCGTCTTGCGGAGTTCGGTGGCCCACGGCTTAACCTTGCTATCATGGTAGGACTATGGGTTGTACCCAGTAATGAAAGGACAGCTACTCAGCTACTACCTAACGGCTGCCCTACCATCTGTTTATACAGCCCTCATAAAATAAGCCCCAACCACTGAGTCTAAACCCTTCCCTCCGACGGAACTTCAGGAGGCGCCTGCGGGTGGGATGGAGCTCGCTTTGCTCAACGCTGGCCGGGCCAAGAAGCGGCGGCGTCGTCACGCGAGATGCAGACTTCAAGACTTTGTACTGTTCCTTTCTATTTAGAATAGGGTTTTGGGGGATGTTGTACTATATCTATAATAATATGTATAGGTAAGAATATATATTTAGACCCCTATATTCAATCTCGTGGTTAAAGGGTTTCTTGGGGAGAGTTACCTGTTTATGGACTTACGGGGTTGTATACGGGTCTTGTAGGAATCCTAGTGCTAGGGTGGCCTAGACTTGAACTAATGGGCTTGGCACCTAATGAAAGAGGGATCTTTGTCTTTCAGTACCTCTCTGTCCCCGTGCCCTGGTGCAGTGCTTCGTCTTCCAAAACCCTACACCCTCCTCCCGTACTAGTACACACACTACTGCTCCATGATGGCTTAGGCTTTCGTGGGGTCCGGGGTTCAGGGTTTTACGGTTCAGGGTGTAGGGTTCAGAGTTCTATGGTTGATCGAAGCTGACCTCGGTCTGTCCAGCATTTCCTAGCTCGTGGGCTGGGGCACTGGTGACGAGGAAACTCGGCAAGTTGCTGCTTCTACAAACACTCCGGGACTCAAAACAAAACCCAGAACACAGCTTAAGCTTCGGGATGGAGGGTCTGCCACGGCGGACGTAGGATGAGTGACTGCTGTGTGATGGGGCACGCCGTGAGGTTGTATTCAGCGATGTCGGTCTCCGTGTGCCGGTACCTTGAAAACTCATGTGCCCTCAACCCTAATCTGTGCACTTGTCCTTTGAAGTAAGCCTAGTCAGATTACAAACTTCAACAAAGCGATCCTCTACCCACATCAGAGCTAAACTCTCAAAGAACCTCAGCCCTGCTACGATTTGTTCCTAGCGTTCAACTCTGCAAAGTCGACCCCGAACTAACACGATGAACCCCCACAGCCCTGAACACATAGACGTAGGCTGGGGGGTCAAGTGTATATCATGAACAAATCACAGAAAGTTGCAAAATCGGCATGGGATGGCAAAGTCCCCAATCGAACCATCTGGCAAAATCTAGCATCAACTTGGAGATTCCGAACATGACCAACATGCTTAGATCGCTGTAGCGGACAGCCAAAAGACGGCGCCCGACATGTTAACCGGCTCCAATCTTTCGGAAAGAGTTCGGAATCGTACTGAATCCTGTACAGGTCCAGCAAACAACGTACTGCTGAATTTTAACGTCCCAAACCCTAAACTCCTTCACCCCTAAACCCTGAACGCCCTAAAGCCCTGAACCCTCAACTTATTAAACCGATTGAAGGATTCAAGCCGGGGCTCTGCTGCGAGTTGATCTTAAACAGGCGATGTCTCACCTGCGGGCAACTTCGAGCTTGGCTTTCAGCTTCGGTGTTTGCAGTGCCTCAAATGGAGTAGTATGTCATCCCTGGTGAACGCATTTTTGTTGTCTCTGTGGTCTTTGTGGTCGGCGCCAGAAGCTTGCCATTCCGTCCAATCCTTCATGGCACTTTGCTCTCGGGCAGGATAGGTAACGAGGGCCTGAGTCAGTTTAAAGTCGTCCTGCTCGGAAAGCAGCTTGTCCGCAGCTCTGGTAAGCTGATGCCAGTTTCGCTTCCCTGTTGTTGACGACTCACGGGCAATACTTGTAGACCACTTCGCAATGTGTCGGGTCAGACGTCGGCGGAAGACAGTGCAGCCTGACGAGTAGCATGCAACCAAGACATACTGCAGGTAATTCACTGCGTGTCGATAACTTGCCTGGTCGACGCCAGCATCGACCTTCTTCTGCATGATCTCTACGGCCACGCTTGGTCGAGCGGCCAAGAAATGTGCCTTAGCATAAGCATCATATGCCAAAGCGTGCGGTTGCACTCCACGCGTTTTCACCAGCATCTCCCATAGCCTGTCGGCCCGTTCCCAGTCGCGTACATCTGCGGCGCAATTAAGCAAGCCCCCGAGCACCACTTCATTCGGCTGCAGTTCCCCGCTGCTGGGAAGGACGTTATCCAAGATATCTTCCACATCGGCATAGGGTCACTGCTTTTCCAGGACAATGAGAATTGTCGCATAGGACACGATCGTCTTGTCAAAAGGCTGGCTCTCGGACCAATTCAGAATCTCCGCCGACCACTGCAAAGCCTCTTCTGTACCAGACATATGGCACAGCTTCAATGATGCACTGAGAATGCAATTAAATTCGTAGCGTGTTTGGGGTGACCTTTCTTGAAACACTACTTTCGCCATTGCCAGGGCTGCAACCTTACGCTCCGACAGCTGCGAAGTCGAGATTTGGGTGCGATCGCACCTTAAGCAACAGGCCAAAGCATTCAAGCAAATGCTTTGCTGGATGCAGAAGAACGACATGCACAATTGCTCCTTCTGGCGCCATATCTCCAGAAGCCCCGCCCACCATTGGTTCTGGCCGCAATGCTGCATAGCTGCACCGAACACGCTTGCATCAACCATGTTCGTCGAAACGGCATCCTGAAAAATGTTGAGCAAGCTCGCACATGATCTAGCTTTTTTCAAGCGAACCCGCACAGCTGACGTTTTTTCGCTGCGGCCTCGAGGATCTTTGTCTTCTGCAGATCTCGTCGGAGACAACACATAGTGTAGGTCAGAATCCTCTTTTCTGCGCCCAGTCGTTGAGCGGAACTGTTTCACAGGTCGATTCAACATGCGATATCGGTGTGAGAGATGGGCATGCTTCGGCCTGGAATGCGAGTATAACGCGAGGGCTCCGACAAGGATTCGACGGTACCAAAAGGGATGCCAGCTTCCAGACAGCGAGCTGCAAGCAGCCAAAATGCCAGAACCTTCCAGCCGCTCACTAGCAGCACCACGCCGGCTAGTATCTCCCCAGGATAGGCGGCCGTTGGCCATGCAAGGATGGCTTCCAGCACGCTGGACGAATAACATAGGGACCTTAATAGTTAGAAATTTCTAACAAGGAACCGCTCAAATAGTATTGGTAATTATTTAGGCCCCGATAGTAATAAGGCGAACATTGCAAGTTGTCAACACACTGCACTCACGAGCCAAACAAGGACACCTGGGCAAGCAGAGCAGAGGGTTGGGCGAGTTGAACATACAGCAACAGGAACGGCTTAATTTATGTCTGGGCTGAACTGATCCTGTCGTGAAGTCTTTTGTGCTGTCAATGCTCGAAATTCGATGTACAAACAGTACTAATAGTAATACTAGTAATGAAAATAATAACAACAGGCATCGTCATAATCATAATATCCGTAATAACCTGTTCCTTACGAGACATGGTGGTCGATGCCTTCAACCTTCCTGCTTCCATAGACGGGGAGCACCGAGTACACCATATGCAAGGGTCAAATTCCGAAACAAGCGGCTTCAAACCTGGGAGTGAGCGATGTCTGGGGGTCTACCGTCGAGCTTTCCCAAAAGGTCCAAAGTACCTACATAGCAAATTTTCGGATTTCTGTTTTCGGAATTGTTATAGTGATTTGGGGAAGCATCCTCAATAACAGGACTTACATGTTTTTGTTGCCGCGATTTATGAAAGATTCTGGGTTTTGGTTGAAACTGCTGAGTGAGAGTGTGAGCTTACTTACCGCAAGGACGTGAAAACCGTTGCAAAGTATGCGCCCCTTATCCAATACCTACAAGTACGATTTGATTGAGTCTGAGGATCTAAAGCTAGGATTGCGGTTTAGTTCCATGACCCCCCCCCCCCCCAATGCAATCCTAAAGATGCAGAGCTGCAGCCAAAAAAAGCGGAGTTTGTGATCCTAACTAACCGGAAGCCTTTCTGTAGCGAGTTACTGCCCTCAAACGCTACATAAACCGGAAGCCTTAATCACCCATCAACCGGCTCAGAAAACCTCTATCCCTTCTAAAACGGTTCTACAACCCTTACACGAAACCTTTGACCATCCTACTACATACTACACGATACTTCTAATAAGGAGCCCCCCCACCAAAACAGTACTGGTAATTTTTCGGCCCCTAAATTATCATGATTATTGTTGTTACTGTTGTTATTATTGTGACTGTTGTTATTATTATTAATTACTATTATTATTACTATTACTATTACTATTACTATTAAACCACGATTATTATTATTGTTATCATTATTACTTAAGGCCCCTATGTTTAAGCCCACACCCAAGAAGCAGGCCTCCGGATCCGTCCGCGTACAGAAGGCATGGTAAGGGCCTGGGAAGCTCCCCCAGCTGTACTTTCTGAGGGTTTCGAGTGGTTTGGGGATGTTTGGGGCTTTGGGGTTTGTGAGTTTAGGTTTTGTTTTTCAGCGCCCCTTTTTCGACCAGCAACTCCGTTTGCCCGTCGGCCGTATCACCACACATCACAATCCCGGGTGTAGGGGTTTAGGGTGTAGGATTTACTTCCTGAAGGTTTAGAATGGCTTGGGGAGGTTTGGGGTTTATAGTTTGGGCTGGAGGGCTTAGGATTTAGTGCCTGCAACCGAATTAGGTTTAGGGGTAACCTTGAGCGGAAGACTCTACATCGTAAACCGTACAATTAATCGTATAGCAAGCATGGTGACAACGCCAGACTGGTCCAAAAAAAACACTTGGAGTGCCTGAGCTGTATACCTCGAGGTCGCAAATTGCTCGATGTGTCCCTGCATAAGTGTTTGTAATGTATTCGGACAAAGACAAAGACGAAGAAAGGAACCAAACAATTGCTGCAAAATCCAGAAGGAACTACTTGGAGGCCCTGTTGACTTAGTAAGTCTACTTAGTATCCCCTATAAACCCTGTTATAATCCCCATAACCCACCTTACTAACCCTACTTACTAAGTCAAAAGGGCCTCCAAGTAGGCGCCCAGCTGACCACAGGGACCAACTCCCCTGGAAGATGCTCTTGTCATCAGGGTAGTCTCGAAAAAGCCCCCCTAAAAACACGTGCGGCGGTAGGCGCGCGTACTGGACGCTCTTCGGAACCTTTGTAAAACCACTAGGGCCTCTATCTTCCAGGCCGCCGGCTGTTGATGATGTCGCCCCAGAAGCCACGCACCTGACGAGTTGGGGGTCAAGAAGCTTCGCCCCGCAAAGTTTTCGGATGCTTTGCTATGAGGGTTGTGGTATCCTGCGGGTCAGAAGCGGAGCCACTGCTTCCTTATTCGGTCTCCTTAACAAACAGACTTGCATAGGGCTGAGTACCCTACCCAGTAAAAGGTTAACCTTTTCAACTATGGGAGGGTTAAATCAACCCCCAAAAGCCCAAAAGGTTGAAGGTCACCTACTCAGCTGCAAAGTGTGATGTGTTGACATCCCCGGCAAGCTACCCAACCCGACCTCAAAACAACGACAGCACCCTAAACCCCAAACCCTATATCCTAAACCCTAAACCGCTTACCCGGAAGCCCTCCAACCCGGCTCTACAATCCGCAGTGATTTTGCATGGCAAGGCCTTCGAAGGCATCCCTAAACCCGCAAACCTTACACCATGCAAACCAAAAAGACGTTACCAAAAACCGTACCCCGCGCAACCTGAACTTTTCCCTACATTCAACACCTTCCTGTCCATAATGATAATTGCAGCCCTGAAAAGCTGCCCTCCTTCCCTAAACAGTCCCCAACCCATCAAGCCCCATGTCCCGAAAGTGCTTGGGTTTGGAATGTGGGATTTATTTAGGGCACGAAAGACCTATCTCCCCACGCGCAAACATACTTGCATGTTACCTGCTTTTCGACATATAACACATTAAAACTCACAGTTGCTTTGGGCGTGTAGACTTTGTATGTACGAAGAACATACATAACATACTTGAAAATGTTCACAATCATGCACATATAATATACCTTTCGAAACCGCATATGTATACATGCATGTAAACACGAACACATGTCCATAGACTGACGCATACGTGCAGGCATGCTTACATACCTGCGTACATTACATACAACACGGTATACGTAGGCACAGGCAGGCAGGCAGGCAGGCAGGCAGGCAGGCAGGCCTACAAGTAGACAGACATGCCTACATATCTGTGTACATACATGTGCATGGTGCCAACACCCAGATAAATACGCTCGTACACACGCACTGGATATGTGTGAGAATGCATGCATAAAAATGCTGCCCAGCGATGCACGGATGTCAACAGCTCAGATGTCTGTAGATGGTTTAATCGTTAGAACTGAACACAAAGACCGACAGATCGAAACGGAGAGAAAACTTTCTGCACGTACGTTGACATGATCATCTACGTTTCCGTGTGTGTATGTGTGTGTGTGTGTGTTAAGATATACATATGCACAGAGCAGCAGCATGATTCTCTACTGAGACGGCCGTGTTGGCAAAAACCCTGATGGCAAGGGCAATCAGGACCCTTAAAGAAGCGGCACCCTAATTATAGCAACCTTAAAGTGAAGGACCCCATCCTTATGGCTGTATAAATAGGCCTGCCCTGAGCCCCTAATTATGGCAACCCTAAAGTGAAGGACTCCGTCATTGTGGCTGTGAAAATGGGCCTTCCCTGAGGGCCGTGCCATCACCGTCGTGCCTTTAGTTCGGTCCATGGCCTCGTTGTAAGACCTTCTGATGTGGTCCAGGGCTAAGGTTGCTTCTTTGGGGTTTGGGGCTATACTTGGAGGATCATGGGACTTAGTAAGTACGGTTATACGTACCTTAGTTGGGGCTATAGGGCTCTTCAATGGAAGAGCTTCGAGCAGTACTCTGGAGAACTCAGGGTCTTTCTGAGCCAGCGATTCTCCGCGCTGGGGTACGGTTTACAGGGTTTGACCAGTTTAACCTGAAGCCGAATTTATGGTTTGAGTAGCTGTTTGTCGTTTTGGTCTTGACTCGGGGGTTACCTAGAGAGCCAAGTACCTCTTAATGAAGGGACATACACCTTAAAGTAAAGAAGTTTCCTACTATGATTTAAGGAATGATGCACAATTCAGGCGCAGTGGGCTCCCTGCGTAATCTTTGGGATCTGGCTTTGAGGCTGAAGGGCTCAGGCTTTAAGTTCAAGGACCCTGGAGGCTCTTTGAGGGTGCTAAGAGGCGTTTTATAGCATCCGCTCTCGGAGAGCCTATCTTCGCTGATGAGTTCATAAGCCCCCAAAAAATGTACACTTAGTTCAATATCATCCCCCAAAAGTCTAAAGTGTATCTACTCAGCTACTAGAGTATTGTAAGCTTCCGTACATTGAGCTTATGGCTTTTGGTGACTCTTCCAGGCTCATACTTGATGTGTTCGGATGCCGAAAAACAAAAAAACTAACCAGTAGGTTTCCGAAGGCTTTCCCCTAGGGATCTAAGGACTCATATATTAAGGCTTTTGTGCCCAAAGACCATACCATATAAGGCTTTTGGGCTATTTTGATCCCCAGGGTTCGAACATGGAGAGTTCAACAACGCCATAGCAAGTATGTCGCAATATTATGGACATCTGCTGTGCTGTCGCACAGCCACCCACCTAATGATGGGAAACCAACACAACTGGCTGCAAATAGCCCGGCAACGAACATCGATCATGATCTCTGAACAGCCAGAAACCCCGGCCGGAAAGCCTTAAACGACAAAGCCGAAAAACGATTGAATTCCACACCCTGACCCCAAACCCTAAATTGTGTTTAAATTCAACGTCGTCCGAGTCCCCGACGCCAGCGTCCGGTTAGGCGTAGCATAGCTCGCAAGCCGCGTCTCGAAGGCCACGCCGGTGTGCCCGAACCTGAATGTATTTTTATTTTGGGGGGACTATGGCTTGAGAGGCTTGCGCTTTTTTCCTATTTGTCGGGTATCATGGGGCACTAGAGGTTAACCATTGTGGTTATATAGGGATAGGGACTATACTAACCAGAAAAAGTTAAAGGCCACCTACTCTACGACTACGCGATTGCAATTAAACTGAAGTGGAGTGCCCAGACCTTCCAAAATCCCTTCATGAAGGATTGTACCTTAAATTATGATAGGACCCCTCATATGAAATAAGTATAAGGTATATTCCTTAATTAAAGGATTTTGGACGGTCTGGGCCTTTTAAAGAAGCTCAAAAGTACCCACTAAATATGAAAGAAGTATAAGGTATATTCCTTAGTTGAAGGATGTTGGAAGGTCTGAGTGCTTGGAGGCCCTTTTGACTTAGTAAGTAGGGTTAGTAAGCTGGGTTATGGGGATTATAATGGGGTTTCTAGGGGATACTAAGTAGACTTAGTAAGTCAACAGGGCCTCCAAGTGGGGTTTATGGCTTCGGTTCGTTTCGTCTCCCGGTTCCACGGCTTCGCAGATCAAGGCTCAGGCTGCCTGGCTCAAGGCTTGAAGCAATATAGGGGCGCCAAAAATCATACTATACATATAATTTTAAATAAAACAAGGAACCCCCAAAACTTAAGGCCCCGATATAGAAGGGGGGGCTGGAGTTCAGAAGTTGGCCTTTTTAACAGTCAAAAGCCATCAGCTCTCGGACCCGCTCTCTTCGTACCGTGAGGTCATGTTTTCGTTCATTTCTAGCCTGCCCAAAGAGAATCAGTGGTTATTACCACTTACCCCGGGACCTTACCCCGGATATTCCTTCATTATAATAGCATTAAATGAGTACTAAAACAGCATTAAAAGCAGCATTAAAAAGGATGCGCAATAAGGTCGTAGGCTTGCAATGCACAAGTGCCTGCCAAAGGCCACTGGGGGTCCACTAGAACACATAAAACAGCAATAAAATAGGCCGAATGCTGACCCTCTGGAAGACAAGCGCTGACAAGTGGAGCCGCAGACTTCTAATTTTCAGCTCTCGCATGCTCACACGCACACATCGATCACGACTTCTTGCGTCTCTTGGCTGGCGGCCCAGCAGAAGAACCTGAGAGATTCATGGTGACAAGCGTTCTATCCTCTTTTACTAATGCCCACCGTATATGAATCGTGTTGGTCGGGACCCACACTTACCCACTCAGCCGCCAAGCCGGCCCCCAATCGCCACAGACAGACAGAGCGACAGAGAGACGGAGAGACAGAGAGACAGAGAGACAGAGAGACAGACAGACAGACAGAAAGACAAAACCACGCACGGCCACAGACAGACACATGGACGCACAGACACACACATAGACACGGAGGGAGGGGGGAGTGAGAGAGTCTGAACTGAGAGAGTGATTCACACAAAGACAGGCAGACGAACATGCTCAGACGCACAGACACGACTCAGCGACACTCGCGAGCGCACACAGAGACACACAAACACAAAGCCGAGCAACCCGCCGGCGCTGTGGAGGAGGAAGCCGCTGAGCTCTTGGGCAACGCTGATTTTCCTGTCTTCGTCTTGGCTTTTGCTTTTCCTTTGGCAGTCTGCTTGGGCTTGGCCTTTGCACTGTGGATGTCCTTGCCGCTGGTGTTTTTTTTCGGCTGGGCTTTGCCTTTGCTCGTGCCTGTAGCTTCTTCAGGGTCGCTGCTCAACGTGCTGCTGTCAGAACTAGAACTCGAGGAACTTGAAGTGTCAGAACCCGCATCCTCTGTTGGTCTGGCCGCCGTCTCCTCACCGCCATGCGTATCGCCAGCCTCATCCTGATTTGCAGCCTCTGTTGCATCCAAATCCATCTGTGGTTCTGGCACTGGACGCACGTGCGGCTGTTCCTCGTCCTGTCCGCTGCTGGCCACTTCACCGTTTGCCACCCGCTCGAAGGCCTCTCGGATCATCTCACGTGTCGGCCGGCCAGACACATCCTGCAGGGTGACAATGCAAGCTTGCTTCAAACACTTCGAAGGAAAGGGGGACTCTGAAACTTAGCGAGAAGCGGAGCTCGAATCAATCAACAGTCCTGTTTAGCCTTTCCATGCATCTTCCACAAGCCATTCACCACGAGAACCAATGCCTCCAATGGGCTGTATTTGCCACGCAAGTAGGTTCTTGCAAATGTTCTTGCTATCGTATGGTGTGTCTGGACTTTCTTACCCTTCTTGTTCTTGGCAGGAGGACCAGCTGCACGAGGGTAATATCCTTCGTACGTGCCCTTGCTCTGCTGCCACACGAGCCAGCAGCCTGGAACATCAGGCCTCAAATTCTTGATGAGATCTGGAGTCGTGGCAGTTGCTCGGGCTCGTGTCTGGCCGAATCTTTCCAAGACAAGGTTCCTGAGCACCTGGGTCTCGTGTTCTTTCTGCAGCTGCTTGAAGCATCTCGAATCGTCTTCTGTCTGAAGAAGCTTGAGGGCGCTTCCAAGACTGGCAGGACCGTACCCACGACGTCTCGTGCTTTCTGAAAGCAGTGCCTTCACTCGTTGCTCAAGCTGATCCTCGTTCATGTCTGGACAAAATGCGTTCAGCAAAGCGATCCTGAGACACCGAATCAGGGTTAGGGTAGGGGAGGGATATGCTTAGAAAGAAACTTAATTCGGACAGCGCAAGCCTGAGTTAAGTGTCAATCGGGAACGTTTTCCAATCCTCTTCTCACCACTGGGCACTGGCTTGATATGGCACGTGATGCACAAATCCCTCAGCAAAGCACCGTCGCTAGGAATAGTTTCAACATGCCGAAGCCAATATTCCACGAGCCCCATCACGGGGCCGGTCTGTCTGAATCGAATCCCGGCCGTCGCACGGGCCGGAGGCATTGGCTTCCAACCTTGGTGTTATATACTGCTTTCCTTACGGGTTTTCCCGTACTGGTGTGTCAGTTCATGTTACACATCACCCGTCACCGAAACGGCTGAATCAGAGACAGAGGGACAAACTTCCATTGGGATAGCCGTGTAATCCTCTTCGTCTTCCCGGCCCTTTGGTGCCAGGACGTGGGTCATCAAGTATTCCACTCTCTCCTTGCAGGCTGCCGTAGATCCCGAGTCGTCCAGGCAACAAGCTTCAAAGAGGCCCTTGGAAATCTCATGCACCTGCCACGCCAGCGCGCATCGGTATTCGAATTGCAGGCACAGATAGATCTTACCATTGCCCCTGTCGTGATACAGGTGCCCAGGCAGAAACAGCTGCCCAGCCCAAAGGCCCGCCATGTTCTCAAAGCTGCTCGCAGCATACTTTCTCAGGGCCGCCATGGAAGCGACCGATCGGAACTGGGACAAATGGCCTGCGGGCCTCGAGTCCCCGTCGCCGTCTCGCTGACGGTCCAATTGGCTTGTGAGGCCGTCCTTCTTTTTTCCTCAGCTAGTTCGCCCAGGAGAACCCGGGGACTTGGGGTTGACTGGAATCTGCTAGAATGCCAAAATATCACAGCTCGATCCAGTCATGGAACTGCGAAGCTCTGCTACATTCGGTTTCGAAGCCCTAAACTCAACCGTCAACGTGTTTTCGGATTTCGAATCGAATCGTCGACGAAACTTAGACTTCGTAGCAGAGGGAAGCTACATTACTCGATTTAATGAATGACATGACACATGACAACAATGTAACAAATTGTACTTGATACTTTGATTCATTGTGGGGGATTGAATCGAACTAGGGTTTTAATCTTAGGAAAGCCAGATTCACAATTCTAGTCTAGGGCCAATAATCATTAATTATGGTTCTCACACACACACACACTCTGTGTCACACCCGCACAGAGAGAGGGAGAGAGAGAGATGAAGAGAGAGAGAGAGAAAGAGAGATTGTGTGGATTTGAGTGATTGTCCCTAGGTGGGACCGGCCCAAAGCCGCGACTCAGTCGTCTCACATCAGCAGTCTGGCTATAGACCCAAATCAATCTCATCATGCGGCGAACCGCAAGTGATGAGAGGGACAAAACTGAGTCTGTACCTCAAGAGTTACAACACGCTGAGACCAAAAGATATAGCAATTGCATTCGTCGTTTGAAATTTAGTTTGAAGTTTGCGACTACTTGGGATGGCAGAGAGCGAGAGCGAGAGAGAGCGAGAGAGAGCGAGAGACAGAGAGAGAGAGAGAGAGAGAGAGAGAGAGAGAGAGAGAGAGAGAGAGAGAGAGAGAGAGAGAGAGAGAGAGAGAGAGAGAGAGAGAGAGAGAGAGAGAGAGAGAGAGAGAGAGAGAGAGAGAGAGAGAGAGAGAGAGAGAGGGAGGGAGGGAGGGAGGGAGGGGGCGCGGGCGGGGGGCGAGGGTCGAGGGGTTCAGAGACAGATGCACACACTCACTCACACACAAAAGCAGAAACTTGCATGGCTGCTTAAGGCTTAACTGCGCACGGCCAGTAATTGAGTCAGGGCACTGCACCCCGCTTTCACGGCTTGGCACACTGTTGACCTCCCGATGCATGACGTTGAGGAAGAGGGTCGTCCCATGTACACACTGCGTGTCTGGGCACTCTTTCTCACCTCTCGGTTTTGCAAATCTTGCAAATGCAGCCGAACCGGAGGAAACTCTTCAGTCTCCCATCTAGGAAGCAAGCTCGACAAAAAGAAGACGCGCGGGAGCGTGATCTGTGACTGGTTCGATTCGTCAGCAAATTCGGAAGCGAGGCTGCCGAACACATCCTCTAGAGGCTCCTTCGTGCTGCAGAGGGTGTCGAACATGCGGTAGGTGTGATCCCACAAGCTTGGGGGATCGAAATCGAACTTGACTGCATGGTCCCAGTACTCCTCACAATCCATTAGCAGGGGTTGACTGGGGCAGAAATTGCAGGGTGAGATGTAGCAGGTCATTACTCACACTCGTCCTGCACGACTGTCTGCCGGTCGAACCAGAGCTCGCCCAGACACGGCTTCAATCCAAGAGCCTGGCTCCAGATCTTAACTGCCGGCTCAATTCGAAACTTTGTCAATAATGGATGAAGACTGCACATGTACTTAGGGTCTTGTGGTGCTCATGCAGCATGTGCCTCCGCATCCTCCGGGCTTTCATGAAGCACAGTCTGGGCCTTTCGGACGATCGCTTCATCCGACTTGATGCGGGCAAGTGCTTGCGAAGCGACATCCGTGTCGCTGTGAAGAATTCCAGCGAAATTCTGTGGGGGAACTTCGGAGTGATAAGACATGGACCAACCACGTTTGCCGGCCGCTACGACTAACAACTCAACAAAGCCTTCGGCTTGTTGCTTTGCAGCTTCTTCGTCATCTGGGGTTGCAATGACCTTCTGTAGCACGGCCGGGTCAAGAGTGGTGCTGAAGATCTCGTGTAGGACTCGGCACCATCCACGAACCGACCAGTCAGCTTGTAGCAGGCGGTTCACACTCCGTGTTTTGGTTGCTGCCATGAGTCCCCGGTGTTCCAGGTTCATTGCACGTCGGGAGAAGAAAATCCTGCGACAAACAAAAGCTTTGTCAATCATCGCCGAACAAACTCACGAACACAGCACGTACACCAACATGTCGAGTACAGTACTCAATGTCAGGCTCGAAACGTGTGGGCATAGTGTTTGATTCGCGTGTCGCTCAGAATCTCCCAACACACATCCATATGGGACTTCGCCCTCTGGAGTTCTTTCAGAGTAGTCAAGAGCTCGCTCTTCGCGCCGTCGCGCTTCGCGGAGAGAGCAGCCGCAGCCTTGGAGAACGCTTCCGACTCTGGCGCATGCTCCTGCGTGTTTTTTTACACGAGGATTCCTTTCATAAGGACGCGGCATCTTCCGGAAACAGCATTTGAACAACAATGGTGTGAATTATTACCGAATCAGCAACCACACGCTACGACATACTCGCATTGTAGCAAGGGCAGTCATACGTTTCAGGGCTTCGTGTTTTCTTTTGTAATTTCTCCTCGTCAAAGTCGCTCACTCACACATTCACTCAGTCACTCACTCACTCACTTGCTCACTGACTCACCCACTCACTCACTCACTCACTCCCGCGCGCACGCACACGCACACACACACACACACACACACCCTCTCTCTCTCTCTCTCTCTCTCTCTCTCTCTCTCGATCTCTCTCGACTCTCTAAATCCCTAGTTATTATTCGAATGACATGACTGAATTGAATTATTCAATCTCCTGAGATTGCCTAGGTTGAGACCCGTCCCTTCTGGTCCAAGTCGGACCCCTTGCTCGATGCTCAAGACAGCCATTGGCCGAACTTGGAACCCTGAACAGCACAGGACCAATTCAACAATAATTAATCACCGGAACCACGCTGAACTGACTTATTGAATTGTTATTGAATTAATCAAGTGCTTGATGGCTCTCCTCGTCATCGTCGGCCGCCCCATCTTTCTTGCCGCGCAAAGTTCGTCGGAACCCATGGACACATCTGATAAAGGTCCAATGTGGGGAGAGGGCCTTCCAAGCATGGTCCCACTGAAACCATCTCGATAGAGTGACCTCTGCTGGCAGCAATCCCTGGACAGACGTTCACGTATTGGTCCAAGAAACCTGCAAATCAAGATAATGAATCTAGCTCAGCCTGCTCTAAGTTTTAATTGTGGCCCACGCAACATCCGTGCCGCTCCATCCATCGATGCCGGCGCGGCACATCTCATGAACCTGCTCTGCGGAAGTTGTCTCCTTCGGCAGACCCAAATCCCACATCATATCGGCAAGATGTTCCAGGAACCTTGTCGCTGCCAACACTAGACTAATACTTTATTATACCCGAAGACTGGACTCACGGGGATCCGTCTTCTTGAATCATTGATTAGGGAATGGGGACAGAACATATGCGATGACCAGGTGCTCCGGGCTCTGTGGCGGGTGAAGGTCCAAGTAGAAGTGCGCCAACGTCCGAAGTTCCTCCCCGAAACCATTTGTCTTGAACGGCTTGCGGCTTGTGCTCATGAGAAGGCGTGTCGTCGCGACCACGCCTTAGAAAATACAACTGTAACAATTCCAATCATGCCGAACACCGCACACTGTCGAGACACAAGCCCTGGCTACCGGTCTACCAATGACTCAGACCAATGAATGAGATTCCAGCTGAACTGTAGGACTGGGAGCCCGGGCCCCAAATGTTCAGTGCTTTGGGGGCATGGTCTGCATCGTTCGATACCCGATGGTGCTCTTCCCGCTTGTGGATGGCCCGCAGGCGGATGTCACGTGAATAAATAAGCTTGTTGATAGCTTTTATCCTCAGGCGATCAATGTTCCGGGCGGGGCATGGAATCAACATGAAACTGTCCTGAAACTGTCCACACTGCCGGGCCCCGTGCTGTGCTGGTTCTTCATCGCTGGTCAAAATCAACAGCTTCTTCTGGGTAAGCGCATTTTCCAGGGGTTCTGGGTCGTTGGGTCTGGCCACCCTTGGACGAAAGTCGTCCAAGGATAACAGTGCCCCGTGACTGAGGGCGTTCTGCAGCGAGGAGCAGAACTTGAAGGGGCCCTTGTTGTTCAGTAACCCCGTCTTCGCAAGTTTTCCAGCCGATTTGGCGGGAATCTCAGCATCTCTCTCCATCTCCTGCCATCCATGTTTCGAGACTCAAGCCAAAAACCCTAAACCCAAACGTTATCAATAATGACCAGGTGCCAGGACGAGACCAAACAGTACATACAGGAAAACTAACCCAAACCCTCTTCAACACCCTAGACTTAGACTTGGACGTAGTTAATTATGAATTTTAACAGCCTTAGCCGAATCCGCTATAGCGACCTAAGTAGAATTGCTCCATCGACTCAGACGACCAGCCGGTCCGTAGCGATGAGCAGCTGTCTGCATGCATCTGCTTCCTCCGAATCCATGTCCTCACCCACTTGGGTGGAAAAGAGGGTCGGGTCCAGCACCTCAGCCAGCAGAGAACACGTGAAGTTTCGGTTATCCAACGTATAGCCGGGAAGGTTCCACCGCAAGTTGACAGCAGTACACAGCAAGAGCCACCCGCGGACCGCTCTCTAGATTTAGATGGTAGCGACATGTAGCGACATGCTGCCACGCTTCTTGTTCCCTGCGCACGCCGTAGGAGTCTCAAGCAGCTGTACACCAACAGCCTCATTGTCGGTCACGATCATGGCTGGCACTTACAATCCTACGCAGCACTGCCTCCACATTTTCAAGGCAGCGGCCAATCAACACCGTCTCAGCCCGGAACTTAGTCCGGGCTTGAAAACAGAGCAAAAACCCTCGTAAGTCATGCTGAGCTTGCATGAACTCTCTTCGGTGAGCGTCCAAATCCATGCAAAGAGTGTTCCAGCCATCCACGGTCGATGTGGACGCCTCGTAGTTGCACATCAGGGTGGCATTGTCCTTATCGCTCACTGGCAAGCCCTTGTAGTTGTCGTTCTGGAGGCAGAGCAAAAGACAGGACAACTTAGCCATGTCTGCAGCAGTGTTCATGTCCACACTGCAGCTGCCGGCCATTGCCAGCACCTCACGACAGTTCTCAAGACGGTCAAACATCACCTGCTGCCGAGCTAGAGGCTCTTGCGGCACCAGATCCAGCAGCGCAAAGACACATGTCGTCATGATGTAATCCGCGAGAGCCGTGATGTGCTCCATGCGCAACATCAGAGCCGGCATTCTTTGCCTTGATCTCTATGGGAGCCTGTAGGAATGTTTGGCTTGGACAGCAGATGCTGCAAGCACTCATTATAAGTAACAGTCGTCAGTCACTGACTGAGTCACTACTAACTAACCGAACCAAACTAAACTACATTAACCTAGACAAAACATGAGCTTTAAGTTACTATTTATTTATTATCAGCTAGACGAACACAGACAGCACCAAGCACACACACACACACACGTCACACAGACAGACAGACAGACAGACAGACAGACAGACAGACAGACAGACAGACAGACATACATACATACATACATGCCTGCATGCATGCATACATGACATAGATAGATATATATGTGTTATATTATATACACATACTCACAGACACACACACACACACACACACACACCGAGAAACAACACTCACACGCACGTGCAGATCACACGGACTCACACGGACACACACACTGACATTCACACTCACTTTCTCCCTTTCCCTCTCCACTCCCGAAATCCTAGAAGCCCACTGAAACTCGAGACGCCAATGGTCTACAATTAAGACGCATTCGAAGCCAAGCATGCGTTGAACCCGTGCCGTGGCCAGCCAGGACAGGCTTGAGATAACCAGTCAAATATTTATTCGCATTCACAGCCAGCACACGTGACAATAGGGCCGGCCCCAGTCACTGACCGTGTGAGAGAGAGACACTCAAAAAGAGAGAGAGAGAGAGAGAGAGAGAGAGAGAGAGAGAGAGAGAGAGAGAGAGAGAGAGAGAGAGAGAGAGAGAGAGAGAGAGAGAGAGAGAGAGCGAGAGAGAGAGAGAGAGAGAGAGAGAGAGAGAGAGAGAGAGAGAGAGAGAGAGAGAGAGAGAGAGAGAGAGAGAGAGAGAGAGAGAGAGAGAGAGAGAGAGAGAGAGAGAGAGAGAGAGACCGACAGAGGGACAGGGGGGGACATGGACACATAAAGGGAGAGAGACACAGAGAGCTGGCTGCACTGTAGACTAGACTATTATTAGAGAGGGCTCCAAAATGGGGCGTGGTGGTGTGGTATGTGGTGGTGCGGTGCAAGGGGTGGCACGTGTGGCGGGGCGTAGAGAGACAGAGACAGAGTGAGAGAGAGACAGAGAGAGAGAGAGAGAGAGAGAGAGAGAGAGAGAGAGAGAGAGAGAGAGAGAGAGAGAGAGAGAGAGAGAGAACAGGTCCAGTTCCGTGTCCAGGGTTAGCCGACAAGCCACTGAGGTGACAGCATTGTGCACTCAGCTTCAAGACGACAGTTTGCACTTTGCACCAAGTGCGTGCAAAGACGTCACTCCATCAGGAAGATGGACAGAGTCTTCTTGTCAACGAATCAAGCTCAGCTCTAGCCTTAAGGCCTATTCTTATGCTTTCTTCAACCAATTATTAATCTACATCAATCAGGAAGCCCTCGGCAAGAATGTAATGTATGCAACAGTAACAGTGTAACATTGCAGCTACAGCTAATCAGCGACAGGGCCTTCACTGTCCATGACTGTGTGCAGTAGTGAAGATCGTCTTTTTCACGGCGCCATGCTGGCGCTCCGGCCAGTTTGGGATCCGTTCGTTGAGGCCTGCCTACAGTCCCAGGATAACTTGCGGTTTTGCACATGGCCCATCCTTGCACGTTCAGGGTCTCGGGGGGGGGGCTAGACTTCAATTTAGGGTTTTAAATTTAAAACAATTAGTTTAAAAAGTTGAGGGTTCAATAGGTATTCAGTCAGAGTTTAGGGGTTTAAAGCCTAGGGTGCTTACGGTAAATAGCGTATCTTGTGAATCTAGTGTCACCCTGTCTCAGCTGCACTATAGTGTCTGGAAGAACTGTCACAGTCAGCAAGATCAGCAAGAGGTGGCTTTAGCCCTGGCATATGTTTCGGAGACAGCAATCAGACATGGACGGGCCATGTGTGTAGCAGGACATGTGCAGCTGGCATCTGGCCCGTACATCACGTAAACTTCTTGCACCTGAGGACCTGGGGTTTCTCTGTAGACTCCGCGACGGGCCAGCTACAGCTTAAGTCGAAACACAGGAGACTAACCGAACAGAGTTTCCCGATTCTTTCTTCATAGGAGCATAGTGACACGCAACCTGTCCTTCGGGGCAATTCCCTGTGTGACCCAGGCTCTGCAACGTCTGACAAAACTACTTGCCCGGGCAGGGTCCAACATAGTGCACGGGCAAAGGCTAAGACAAGACTGACGTCCTGAAGCTTCCCAACCCGGACGGACCATCGCAAGCCAGAGCCCTGTAAAGCAGTGACCCAGCGTGTTACTCTGACTTACCCGATGATTGTCAGACTCTGGTTCACTGAAGCTGACCTTCGGAACTGACCAGCTGGGCCGCCAGGGTCTCTAGCATTAAATTGTTACACATAAATACTTAGAATGTAAATAAAGAGTGTGTATATATTTATATATGCATTAGATACGCCCCCGGCCGAGAACAGTCAGTCACCACCAAACAGAGGACGACTGGTCACAGCAGCGAAAAGCAAAGGTGCATGTGTGCACCGGCTCATAGTGACCACAATCGACGAAAGCAGGGAAAAACAAACAGGCTTCGGCTATTATAGGGGAGCTGGTAAACAATACATGCATACACTGCGTATTTTGTAGCTTGAGCCATTTTAATTTTTCTCCATGCCATCACGGGCACGCCACAATTGTGTTTCACTCACAGGTTCATCTTGTGATGAAGACACGGGACAGGTTTCTCGACCAAGCATGGTACGCGGGCCTGGGAATGGCAAGAATGGGCTTCACTTGACAAGGGAGTCACGAGAAGGCCTGGGGAAGGGGAGGGGACAATGGGGAGTGAAGGGGAGGGCTTGTTGGGTTGGACTGAGCCTGTCGGAGCAGCGACTGGGAACGACTGCCGGGAGGCGCTGTGACTGGGAACGACCGCCGGGAGGCGCTGTGTTTAATAAGCATTAAATAGGCATTAAAAATGCATTAAATGGGAAGTGTCCACATATGGAGAAGGCACTATTTTCCGCTGGGAATACGACAGGAACCCCGGGGTCAGTTCCTCAATCCCCCTATGAGAGACGGCAGGAGGTGGCAGGCGCCAGCAGCTACAAAAAGCACCTCCAAGGGCTCCTGCCGAGCTGCGGCCTGTGCCCTCTCTCATAGGGGGATTGAGGAACTGACCCCGGGGTTCGTGTCGTATTCCCAGCGGAAAATAGTGCCTTCTCCATATGTGGACCTTCCCATTTAATGCATTTTTAATGCTTATTTAATGCCTACGAAAATGTGGCCGGGGCGCCCACCCGGTTGCACCCGACTCGCTCGCGAGCCTGCGAGAATTCCAACAACGGCAAGCTCAGTGCACGTGCTCTCCTCAAACACAGCCCACCACCAGCAGCAGCACCAGCAGCAGCACCAGCAGCAGCACCAGCAGCAGCAGCAGCACCAGCAGCAGCACCAGCAGCAGCACCAGCAGCAGCAGCAGCAGCAGCAGCACCAGCACCAGCACCAGCACCAGCACCAGCAGCAGCACCAGCACCAGCACCAGCACCAGCACCAGCACCAGCACCAGCACCAGCACCAGCCCCAGCACCAGCACCAGCACCAGCACCAGCACCAGCACCAGCACCACCACCCCACCACTGCCACCACCACCGCCACCACGACAACGACGACGACCACTACTACAAGAAAAAGTATCCCTTTTGTTTGTATTGCACAGGAATGGAAACTTAAGAGAATTTTTGATGTCGACTCCATGAGCTAGAGACCCTGACTGCCGAGCTGGGCGACTCGTAATAGCGACCGATTTAGCCATCGACTGAGCTGAGCTTTCGTTACTTATTTACTAGGACCTGCCACAGGCTGTTACACGAAGCGCCCCACGGCGACTCACTTTGGCTTTGCCAAGCCCGTGGGCGGAGGCGGCAAGTTTCCAGGGGGCGGTGGTGGAGGGGTCGGCACAGCTGCGGCCGTGGCCTGGAACCACAGATACCATTTAATATCCCGGACTTTCGTGCCATTCGTTCAACGGGTATGGTTGTTGCGCAACTGTTGGTAAATTTGCTTCCATGTCTAGATGTCAAGCTCGCAAAAACGAAACCTCTCCTAAACCCTACATTTAAACCCTAACTAAACCTCAGGACCGGACCCTAGTCTAAACCCTAAACCGATGATTCCGGATTCCGGGTAACTGTACTGTCACGGTTGAGGCTTTACGCTCTTAAGTGGAGGCTGGCTCTGCAGTTTGCGTGTTATTGTTGTGACTGACTACGCCAAGGGTTTGCACAACCTCAGAGTCAGGGCTCAGGCTCTACTATTCTGGGGGTATTAGCAGTCCAACTAAACCCTAAATTATCCGAAGTCAGTCCTCGCCGCACACTGTAGCTTCAGCTTAGGGTTTTAAGATTCACGGTCTCCCTCAACCTTCAAAATCTTGTAAACCTGACTTGGACCTGAACTCTTAGTCTAAAATGGCGGGCTGGGGGCCTGCGCTATGCTTCGGGTTTACAGTCTAGTCGGTAGGACTCCACTGTCAAGGAGCTCGATGCTGATTGTCGGGAAGCACTGGAGAGCTGGCCACATCCTGGCCGTTGCCGAGCAAGAATGCAGCTTGCTTATTTTTGTGTTAAGTCCAATAATATAAGTTCAATAGCATCAGGTACTCGTCAGCACCCGAGGGACACGCTGCAAACATGAGTTCATGGTGTCAGCTAACCAGAATCTACCCTCCATGATTCAGATCAACTTTCAGCCGCTCCCCCTGATACCCTAAAGAAAAGGGATTCTGTGCTGACTGACGTGACATCACAACCCGCCGCCTTCAGCCGGCGTCCAGGTGGAGTGCTGGGTGCGTGCGGGACACTCGTGCCCTCCTGGACGGACCGATCAAGGCACTCTGCGGGTTAAGTCTTCTTGTGTTGTCGATGGCAAATTTTAATTGCAGCGCAGAAGCAAGATTATGTTCTGGATGTGGTGGGTGCTTAAGCAAGGGCTATGTTATGGATGTGGTGGGTGCTTAAGCAAGGGCTAAGTCTAAGTTGTGGATAACTAGGTCCAAAGCGATCAATAATAGTGAAACTTACAGTCTGAGGCCACCACTAATAAAGGTCCGAAATTCTACGGGGCAGTCGGGCTTGAATCGCAGGGCATCAAGTACGAGAATTAAAGAACCGGGCCCAATAACTTCCGCCATCAGAACATAGCGAGAACCCAAACCGTTGCAAAAACCCTACCCTTGAATGCAAGCTATTATGAGGCCAAAACATATTTTCCGATATCCATCGGCACCGAAGTCTTATGATGACAGACCCCCGCCCCCCACCCTTTTCAGAAATTGTTCTGCGAGAGCTCGGGCCTTTAGTTTCGGGGTGCTTCTAAAGCAATTATTTAATTTAATTAAATAATAATAATTAGTAACCCGTCCGTCTTAGCTAGGTCCTAGTTAGGTCGTAGAGAGTGCTAGGACGACAAATTTAATTTAAGGTAAGTTGGGTTCACGGGGCTGGCTTTGGTCTGATTTAATCGTGAACTACGTTACATAGAAAACACAGGCGGTAAGACCTCTCCTTCAGTGACGCGGCGTCTCGCTCGGCCTTCTTCTGCACGGCGGCTGCCTTGCTGTCCTCTATGCGCTTGCGATCTGCGTCCGTCAAAACCTTTGATTGACCGTCCTTTGACTCTTCGGCATCAATCTCCACGACTTTGGCGCCCTTTGCCCTGGAAGGGCTCTGCTTATTCTTAAGATCCTGCTCGAGCTGCTGGCGGATCTCTTGTTCCAGCTTCTTCTTGTCAGCCTCCAGCTTGATCTCGTTTTCGCGCTGAAGCCTTGCCAAGGTGGCCTGCTCGAACTCCGCTCTCTTCTTGTTCTCCTCCTCCTCCAACTTCTGTCTTTCCTCAAGCTCCCGCTTTGTTGTCTGCTCCTGCTGCGCTCGTTGCTCCTCAAGCTTTCTCTGTGTCTCCTTCTCGATCTCCTCACGCTGCTTCTGCAAGGCCTCGGCCGTTGCCTGTTCACGGGCCTCTTGTTCCATTTGCAGTCGTTTCTCCTCCGCTTCGCGTTTGGCCTTATGCTCCTGGACAAGTCGGCTGACCTCCTCCTGATGAGCTTGCAGGAGCTCCTTCTCGATCGTTGCCCGGATCTCTTCCTCCGTGTGCTGCTTGCGCTCCTCGGCCTCTTTTGCTGCCGCCTCTTGTCGAAGCTTCTCTGCTTCCGCGATCTTCTGCTTGCGTGCTTCCTCTTCCTTCTTCTCGTTCACGAGAGCGTCGACCTGAGAGTACAGAGGGTTGTGAGTTACTGATTCTACATAAATATGGAGTATCGGTTGGACACTACTTTGAGAGGCTCGTCAGCTGTTCGGGAGTCTGTGGCTTAACTCAGGGGTTGCTGCGAACTGCCCAAATTAAATCAGACCCCCACAATGCCCTTCCCCCCACCCCGGCACCAGAAGTGCAGAGGTATCCCTGTAACATCACACTTTTGGGCTTCCCTTCCCTACTTGGAGGCCCTGTTGACTTAGTAAGTCTACTTAGTATCCCCTAGAAACCTTATTATAACCTTACTTACTAATTAATTACTAAGTCAAAAGGGCCTCCAAGTAGATCATCACCCCAAACCGACCTTGATTCATAGTGCTCCAGACAGCGTCAATACGGTACAAGTCTAGTGCATGGGCTCTTGTGCTCCGAGAGAGTGGGATCTTACTGGCCCTAACAACATGGGGCCACTGGATTCACGACATTGACATGGTCACATGACAGGCCAGCGCTCACAACGGTTGCCACTCGGCTGGAGAACCTATATAGTAAACCCCAAGCCTTGTCACTGTGGACCCTGGACCCAGCCCTAGACCCTAACTTGCACGAACCGTTCAACGACTAAGACTAACAATTAGCTAAGAGCAACTAATTGTTCCATCAGACCCCGCCTAAGCCTACCTGGGGACCCGCTCGCTTCTCCGAAACCTGGAATGAAGCCCGCAGTCACACTCACTCGATCCGATTCAGTTTAGGGTTTAAACTAATCAAAGTTTAAATGGTTTCAAGGTGTGGGTTTAATATTTAGATGTAAGGTTTGAGTTATAGGAATGATCATTCGGTCCAATTTAGAGTCACCCCTAAACCCTAAACCCCAAAGACTACATTCAGACTGAGGTGGTATGCATGCGGATTCTTGTAATAAAGCCCAACTCACGCAAGGCAAAAAGGGTAACTGAGAAAGTTTCCAGCCGAAGCAGTGCATCATTCTGAACGGTTAAAACAACAGCTTCGCATCCTCATTTAAAGTGCAACCAACCACTACCCTACTAACTTTTATTAACACAACTCTAAACCTCGGCCATAAATCTAAACTCGCAATCCCACGATTGAACTGATACCTGAGTTAATCTGAGCCCGGAAGCATACAATGTCTTGTTAGCAGACACCGAGGCGATGTACTCCTTGCCGTTTTTGGCGTGGCGGGCTATCGTCCAATCGTCGGCATCCGGCAGGTACACAGTCGAGCCTGGGCTGTCGGCTGGCACCAGGACAGGCTTCCCAGAGGGGTCGTAGATAATCATGCTGGCTGCCAGGGTCTTAGTGACGCTTGATGCAGCGTCCGAATATTTGCTCGGGGATGGAGGCTGCGGCAGCGTGTCCTGACAATTGTTGCAAACTGATCTTGCTTGGGCGCACGACAGTGTCCACTCGTGGGTGAAAGTCCTCTGTGCGGCCCTTCTTCGTGGGGGGACCCTCCGTCGTGATGTGCTTTCCAGGCAAGGGCTTGAACTCAGGCACCTTGACGAAATCGGAGACCCAGACAGTGTTGTGGGAGTTGGAGCAGTATGGGCGCTTGTCCCTCAGGTTGGAGCATTGAGTGGACATGAACCAAGCTACTACGATGAGTGCAAAGCAAGTAAGTAAACAGAAGCATCATCTCGCCAGGAATCTAAGCCCCGGACTCCCAGGACCAGTACACTTCCTCCGACCAAGGGCTTCGAGCCTTTGGGAGGTAAGACCTATCGGTGCCGTTGGTGAGGCAGTAGCTGTCCGCGTACCGGTACACTTGCAGCCCGTTCATAATTCTGCTCCGTTCTTCTCGTTCGTGCCGGCACTCGGTCAAGAGCTGCTTGGCATTGACTCGGCAGATGAGACACAGAAGGACAACCGGAGAGAAGTTTGATTGATTCGAGACACCCCGCTCCATTTAATTTTGCTCGACGGAAGCACTGAATAAAGCCAGGGATCTAGTACCCTCCGCACGATCTCCATCATCAATGGTTCGCTGGAACTCGTCCACCAAGCCATGCAAGAATGCTTGTCCTTTAGAGCAGCTAGAGTCTAGAGATGACAAGCATTGCACAAACGGATTGGGCACCAGGCACCCTAAGGAAATCACTAAGCAGACCAGCGTCTGCCCCCCACGGACTTTGGCTTGGAGCCGGGGTCTATGCCGAAGATGATCGCCAAGATCTCCTGGGACGTTAAGCATCAGCCTAGCCACCCTGACAAACGAAACCGACAGTCAGTTCTTTCTCGACTTAAAACGATTCAGGCTAGACTCCGTGGCGTCTTCGTTGCTCAAACTCCCCTGGACCAGCCCATTGAACTGGATCGGCGAAATGCTTTCGAGAACCCATAACTTATCCGCGATCTTCAGCTCATACCAAGAGGTGAAGGTGAAAGAATCGCTTGTGGTGGTCCGCACACGGTTACCTATCGTCAAACAAACGGCACGGTTCAAAATTAAATGAACTGACTGAATCATTGATCCATACAACAGAACTCAACGAACCGGCCTCCGGAGTGGCCGCCAGCATTCTTGCCAGCAGCACTCGAACCACGTTGTTTTGCCGCACCCTTGGGGGCAGCCTCGAGCTCGGCCGGAGGAAGGGGACGGCGTTGCGATGGTTGGCCGCGCTCGGGAGGTGGAGGCGGGCCAGCGGCTCGACCTGGGAGGCCGGAGAGACTTGAAGGCGGAGGCGGGGGCCTGTCCATGGCCCACCAATGAAATCACTCACAGAATCCACAAGCTGCAATTTCCTTCGGGCCGTTATCGCGACAGGAAATAGAGGTTTCAAGCAGAACCACGGAATGGAATGTGCTTGCTGCACTCTGCAATGCTGCAATCTGAAACCTGCTTCAAGGTTGCACTGCCTCACAAGCTGCAGTGGAATCGGACCCGTCATTTCCTATCTCAGCGCGAAACTTTTTCAAACTAATCATTCCTTCGAGGCATCAATCAGGCAGTGTGCCCATCGATCTTTGCGAGCAGTTCGCTGAGAGGCAACGGCACCGTCTTCCGACGCAGGCACATAAGCCCGGCGGCTGCAACGGTGCCTACATTTGGGACGCACATGGAGTTTCCTAAAGCTCGACGAGCATCGAACCAGCTACATCCTGGCTGCACTGTTGGCATCTCTGTCGAGAGGTAACTACACTGGCAAGCCACCGCATGAGTGGGAAAGCCCATGGCTAGGTACATCTCCTGGAGTGTCACATGCCTTCTCAGACCCAGAGCATAGTACAAGGACCCAGCCCGACGCAGCGTCGGCCACTTGCCACTCTTGAGGGACCAATTGACAAAGCCAGCCTCCGGGTTGTCACCCAAGTGGCACACAACCTCCCTGATGGGCGGCTTGGGATGCGGAGCCTCCATATACATGTCGCGGTACACCCGCAGCCTTTTCTGCTCTGAACTCAGAAGGATCGAGTGATCGGATCCACAGCCCGAGAACACTCTTTTGCCCTGCCGGCTGGAAGCTGCAAGGTGCGATGCATCCAGGGCCACCTCCTTCGGCGTGGCCAGCAATACGTCATCTGGCCTGAGTACACATCATCATTAATCATCAAAGACTACAGTCGCCATTATGTACAACAACACAATCAACTCCCACAGGGCGGTGGTTACTTACACTCCCCACTCCCCGCCCTTTGGCTGAGGACGAAGCTTCAATGGCAAGTCTCGTTGACAGCAGTGCTGAATGTACTGCAGCATGAAGCTGGCATCTTGAATCTCCTCCGTTTCGTTGATATTCCGGCCAACCATGTATCTCCTGCGTCACGCATCCACTATTGTGGTCTCAGCTTGGTCATCTTATCAGACATGTCAGAGCACTGCACCCCCAAAGCACAGCAGCCATGAAATCAGTCCTGGTCCGGCTGATGTGCTCGAATCCCACGCACGAAGGATCCACAACTGTGTTCACAGTCCATTCATAATCGTCACCGAAGGCATCGTGGACCAATGTCTCGGGGCACTGTTCCACATTTTCAACACAAACGCATGGGGACCTGGCCGTACGAGCCTTGGCACCGAATGCAAACGCTGTTGACAGCATTGGGCCGTCAAAATACTTCTTCTTTCCTATGCCAGACCAATCGATGCATGGGAACCCTCCTGTTCGGACTTGTGCTGAAGTCTGAATGCAGCAGTAGCCCCCATGTGTGTCACACCAAGCTGTCTCCTGGCACAGTTTCTCACGCGCCCACTCCACTCGGGCTTCATAGGATGGCAAGGCATCGAAGGTCTCTTGAGCTTCAATCGGATTGCCCCAAATTTCTCGCACATCCCGAAACCTATGTGTCTCCCGTGGCAGCTTGTGGCAGAGCATCTCCATCATCTTGTCATCTTTTTCCTGGAATGACGGAACTCAGTATGGCACAACAAATGAAGCGGAAGCCACGAGAACGAGCAAGAAGAGGTAAAGAACCGAACCGATGAACTTCACATTCACTGATTGAATTGAATCGAACTGCTAGGTTTTAGTGGTCGGTGCAATACTTCATACTGGTTGGGACACAATGTCTGTCAAAGACAGTGACACTGGGCAGTTGGGGCAGGAGACGATAGGCTCTGAATTGGTTTAGAACAGTCATTTTTCAAGAACAACCAGCAGCTTGCACCCATCGCAGTAGCAGCAGCAGCAGCAGTCGGCTGAGACATGCTGAGACAGCAATCCCTGGACTGAAGTGAAAGCCATGGCTCACATACCGATTGCGGCCCCAAATTCAGATGCAGTCCACGTGCGGACGCAGCCGCTTCTAGGAGCGAAGTTGCCACCTCCCAGGCCGCGGCCCCACCGGTGAACTCCGAGTCTGTCCCACAACTGTCGAACAACAAGCTTCTGCGAAGGATTCCGCTGGGAATGTGCACAGAAGCACAGTTCAGCACTACATCGGGCCACCCAAACCGGGTAGCCACACGGGTGGCGGCATCCATCTGAATCTAGCTAGCGCAAAAAAGAGGCTAAGTCATATGTCTCTACCCCACTGAGAGTGTCTTCTGCAAGCGATGCCAGTTGAGTTGTTTTGGTCCCACTGCTGCTGATTGCTTGAGCACTTAGTTTTGGCAAGCTCACACGTTCTCTGTGACAAACACTGAGTCTCTGAGGCCAGGCCCTGTCAGTGCATCCATTCATTCAGGCTGAGGTTAGCACTTGTGGGGGCAGGGAACATGTTTGAGAAGCTTCTGGTGCCCACATCGCATACCACATGCCCTTCTTCTTCGCGGGGTTGCCTCCGTCGAAAAGGACCTGCAGCAACAGCATTAACTTTGAGTGGTTGACAAACTTTGTTCTATCACCACCGGCACCTTCTGATCCGTAGCGATGCCATACACAACAAAACTGGAAAAAAACAAAACACAGAGAATCTAAATAAACCAATGCATAGAGCACACCACTGAAGATCCAGAGTGCCACACGTGAAGGGAGACAATGATTCAATGATTTGGAACCTGGCAATGGCCCTCCCGCGGGAAGGGAGACAAAGCCCAGGGACCCAACAACTGCCGGCAAAAAAAGGAATGTATTTAAAGCAGAACCAAAGCTAAGATGCCATAGCCTGCCCTGATCAAACACTTTTAAAAACAGACGCCCTGAACGCAAGGGCCCGTCTTTACTGGGTGGAGGCTGCGAGTGCAGCCAACCTCTTCCTGCCTGGTGGTAGTTCAAGTCTTTGTAGACGCCACGAACACGGTGCATGTAGCAGCTCTGCAACTCCTATCGGTCTATCGAAACACAAACCCGTGCGGGGCCTAGTGAACTATACTTGGGTGATGATTCTTAGATTTCTGATGGACAATGGAGCTGGGCGGGGCAGTCCGATCCTCGTACATCGCCGAGGCCAGTGTTCTCTTGATCTGGAGGGCTTCGAGTGCGGCCTCCAAGGATTTTGATTTCCCTTCCACCACCTGCAAGTAGGCATCATACTTGTCATCTGCCGAAATTAATTCCCCTGGACGACGCTCTGCACGGCAATTCAGTGGGGAATAGCCATAGTCGAATGCATGCTCATTCATGAAGTCAATGCACACACGTGCCAACTGCCATGTCGCTGATTCGGTCGCTTTGACAGTCTTCGTGTAGGAACATAAGAGCGCCAGAAATTCACCAGGCATCAGTGCTTCCTGAGCCGTGATTAGCTGTGCAGTGGGGGGAATATGCTGGAGCTAAAATAAGGTACATGGACTCGCTGATGCACTGTCTGAGTCTGAGGTCGTGTCCGGGCCCGATTGCATCAACCTCTCCCCCGCATCCAACTGGCATTCGTCCCTCTGAACAGACTCCAGCCAGGACCGAAAACCCGGCCACCATTGAGCACGGTGAAGTCCAGCCTCCAGCTGGCATCTGCCATTCTGGATTGGCACCGTGACCTGGGCCGGCTGCTGCTGCTGGGCTGACTCAATGGGACGTCCGATCCGGGCCGAGGCCTTACACATTTCTGCTGCCAGGTTGCGCGCCCGATTCGGATTTCATCCGCAAGTCCACTGCACATGGGATTTAGCCAATCTCTCAGCACCACGGCGCTCCTGAATATCATACCAGTCATCTAAACTTGAGGTATTGACAGTGGCCTGACCCAGTGACTCTTGCCCAGTCGACTCTCTCACTCAGTCTCAGGCAAGAGGCGAACGTGAGTCGTCGGGAGTCCGCTGAGGGGCGAGGATCCAGTGCAACAAGTGCACCATCAAAGATGCTGTTGGCAGCACTACTTCCGGGATGCAGTTCTTCAGGACGTCGTTAGCAACAAAGGTATCGCAATATCGGGCAGAACGGATCCCAGAGGGGGCACATACCTCGATGGCTGCATGTGGGTTTCTGTTGCTATTGATACTACAACTACAGACTTACCAGCTGAACTGGTTAATTGTCCGCGGTGCCGCCAAGCGGGATGGCTGCGCCATGCCTTGCATGACCTTTCCCCACATTTTCTGCAGTGGGGTTTGCGACTTGTCATGCACCTGGAAAAATGTCCTGAACATGGCTCAGTCAGTTACAGATTCTGGGAAGACTTGTTGGTACATACAAGCAGCACTACTCTGTTATTATATTTTGTCCTGGGGCCGTTATTGTTGCACTTGCCGTGGAAATAGCCGACAGGCCACAAAATGTAGCCAGTGTCACGCACATAGTAGAAACGCAGAGTCGGCTGAGCTCCAGCGGCACGCAGCGTTCGTGTTGTAACAAGAGGCTCATCGGCCATTCCTATTGCATGCCTGTTCCTGTGGAATAGCTTGTGGGCTAGCTTCTGGGCTGGACCTGATTCAACGACGAGACTTCTATTTCTAGCTGACAGGTCATCAGGTAGCTGAGAGTATGGCCAACTCATTGATTCATTGGACTCTCTTCGAAGTTTAGGGAAGGAAACCTGCATGACACCCCAGTCCCCGTGACCTGAGCAGACGGCACTTCCTGCGGGGATGGCGGACGAGAGTGAAATTGAAGCCCCAGAAGAGTACGGGGTGAACTGGGCACTCCCTGAAATCCCTTTCTTCAGAGCAGAAAGTCTCGAAACGGACCTTGTGAGCCCGCTGTGCAATCACCCAAATGTGCTCGGTCCTCATTTATTAGTCATTTAACTCTCATTTAATTAAATGGTCGGGGTAGGGTCGCGGGGTAGGTGGAAAAAACCAATGAGAGAATGAAACCCCGATGCTTAAGAAGGAGCCCCAAACAAAACACTCACCGAGATCCCAAACTTGAACCCTCCTTCCCTGAACCCACTTCTTATGGGTAGACCGTAAACCCTCAACACGTTTCGTAAGGGCAGCCATGTCCGATTGCAGTTGAACCGGTGTAGCTGCTTCGAGCAGATATGGGGGCTGTCACCCAGAGAGCCCAAAACCCCTTGATTAAGGAATATGGCTTAAATTACATAGGGCTTCATATTATTATTTAAGCCATATTCCTTAGTTAAGGGGTATTGGGCTCTCTGGGCAAAGTTAGGGGGACACTCAATTTTGGGGTCCAGTTCGCAATGATCCTAGATTAGGAACTCAGGATCCAGATTACGAAGGCCAATGACCCGGAACAGGGCTTAAGGCTTTAGGGAATTGAGGGTACGGACGCCAAAACACGGGCGGGCGGCTGCTTGTAGTGGAACCAGTGGATGATGCCAGCAACTTCCTGGTGGTTTGGGGATTATCATGGGGCGACTATTCATTGTGTCTTATTATGTTAAACAAATCATCGTGAATTGACAAGTACACATATGCATCATGCGTATATACCTGTGTATGCATATGTATATGTATGTATGTATATACATGTATACGTAGTCATGTTCTACACTCTGTATCTAGATTTTATAGGACACTTCAGCACTTCGGTGTGGACGTGTTGCATGCCATACCAGAGCTAAACAAGGACTCGAATCTGCACGGAGACTATCATAGGGGCCTCGAAAGTAGGAAGAGGGATTCGGCGGGTCCTTTTATAGAATACTCACGCGAATGAAGATGTACCAGGTCAAGAGGGCTGGGGATGCTTATTCAGGTCGCAAAGGGCCGAGGTTTAAATGGGTTTAGGGTATAGGGTGTCGCACTTGTTCGAGCACAACCTCGCACGCTGAGGCCCTAGACTGATCTGCAGCATCCGTGTGTTCGGTACTTCTGTAAGGACTCATATAGTCCCCTGATCAACAAGCCCTCGTTTCCCAGTGGTCCTGAATAACATCAGGACCCTTAGTAGCCCATGAAGGACAGGAGCTTATGAATCAGGGTTATACATTGGTTTGCCTGTGAGTATTTAAGGCCGCAGGCCATGCTTCGAAAGTGCCATAGGGCTTCGGTGTCTCTAGCAATCAGGATTTCGATTTGGGAGCTGAATACCCTAGCCCCAAAAAAGGCTAACCTTTTCAATTTTGGTGGGGATGTATTCACCCCAAGAGGTTGAAGGTTACCTACTCAGCTACTAAGTACAACGTAGAAGCTTCGGCTCCTTGATGAAAGTCTGGTAATCGAAATCCATGAGGTTCTTGCGGTGATCATACCTGGCTGCTGCGACAGCACGGAAACTCTGTGCGACAGTGTACTTGGAGGATCATGGGACTTAGTAAGTACGGTTGCAAGTAAGGTAAATATGTACATAAACACGAGTTTTAACTTATAATCCCGCTGAAGGTACTTATAACCTTACTAAGTCCCATGATCCTGCAAGTGGTGGTTTAGGACTTCAGGGAAACTCTTAGGCCTGCGCCTGCAGAGGCCTTTATGATCTGAATGGGGTGCTGAGGTACAGAATACAGCATCAGAAGTACGACAAAAGGAATAGTAGTTAGTAGTATGTACGAATATTATTCGGGCCGCTAAACTAGGGATCTGATGCGCCTCCAGCCCACA